TGTTGTTGTGATGTTGTTTTTTTGTAATCTTTTGAGTTGATATACATTTAGCTTACCCTCTAGTTGTTGCCTATTGTTAAAAATGATGTATAGGTAATTTCATTATTAGACCTCAATGCTTTTAATTATTCATTAAAAACCTACAACTCTGTATTATATATATTCACTAAAAGCCTACTACTACTACTACTACTCTATTTTTATCCTTTATTTTTCTCAAGGGGTAATGCTGGTTGGCGTAATCAATTGTTTCACAACCCTGAACGTGCTACATTGGTTAGATATCATGTTACATTATCTCAGTATTACAATTATAGACTTTCGGTTAGACAATTTTTTTCTTCAATCTTTTATGGCAAGAAACTATTTCAGCAATATGCTGTTGATGCATATGTAAAATTAAAGGCCAGTGCCTTTCTTTTATCAGAAATAACTAAAACAAACTTAGAAGCAAGCAGTATGATGCCTTACATGAACATGTAATCAACCTTGAAAACGAACATTTTGTTAGACCAGGGCGCATTGTAGTTTTGCCATCTACTTATGTAGGAAGTCCTAGAGCTTTAAAAGAAAACTTTGAAGATGATATGGTTATAATTAAAAAGTATGGTAAACCAGATCTTTTTATTACTTTTACCTGCAACCCGAAATGGCGCGAGATAACTGAAAATTTATATCCAGGTCAAACTGCAAATTATAGACCTAGTTTAGTTACACGAATATTTAAACTCAAATTAAATAATGATATTTTTAAGCATGGTTCATATTTTACTTCACTTGTTCATATTTTTCTTTTCACATGTTCATATTTTACTTTACTTTGCAACTGATGACAAGCTGGAGACAGCACAGGATTTCAATAGTTTAATATGTGCAGAAATTCAAGATCCAATTATAAATCGTGAACTTTATGATGTTATTAAAACTTGCATGATTCATGGCCCATGTGGCATACTGAATCCAAATTCTACCTGCATGAAAGATGGGGTGTGCAGCAAAAATTATCCTAAAGAATTTAATGCCAATACAGTAGTAGTTCAAAATGGTTATCCTCGCTATAGACGTCGTGATAATGGTTTTGGTTATCAATATTAAAGGCAACAATGTAGATAACCGCTGGGTGGTACCTTACAATCCATGGTTATCAAAAAAATATCAAGCCCACATTAATGTTAAAGCTTGCATGTCTGTTAAGGCTGTTAAGTATTTGTACAAATACATATACAAGGGTCACGACTGTGCCAGTATTTTGATAAATAAACAAATTAATCACGATGAAGTAAACACTTTTTTAGACTGTCGTTATGTTATTGCACCTGAAGCATTGTGGCGAATTTTTGAGTATCCCATAAGTCATACATCACACACTATTATTCTTTGCATTGTAACTATTTTAAACTGTGTATTACTACGTATGAATTAGTCTCAGATTTTTCAATAACGTCTAATTTTAAAATAGATTAAAGTTTTATACCTTTATGTTTACTCCCATCAGTTTGAACTAAAAAGTTAACATATGACAATTCTATTTTAGTTATATCTATTTTTATTATTTATCTATTTCTAAGATATTTTTAGGTTATTTATCTATTTCTAAGATATTTTACGACTTTCAAACTTTGGCGGCAGGGGGGGATGTATACCCACCCCAAATCCCCCTCCCTCTGTATCCGCCACTGTCTTGTGGTACAGTCTAATCATTGAAATAAAATTGGTATAAAACGATGTGATATAACAACACCAGTTTGGCTGCAAACAAATTTCTTTACTGTAAGAAATCATAACATTATTGAGGCTCTGACACATTTTAACTAAACCCTGCGGGTTCTTCTATGATGCTCTTTCTTTTCTAGACAAGGTTTTCCTAATGATGCTCTTTCTCTTATAGACAAATTCCTAATGATGCTAATGATGCTAATGATCCTAATGATGCTCTTTCTCTTATCTCCAAAAACGCAATGTAAACGTTGTTGGATTCGCTAAAAATGCTCAAATCAAGCTTCTTTTCTATCCTTGTAAAGTTGGATCTCTTTTTCTTTCAAACATATACTATCATATTCGCTGCTCAAAGGAGCTATCATTTTGAGTTCCATCAAATAAAACTCATTCTTGCTTGACTACTCATTCAGCGAAGTCTCATGTTTTACTGTATCTGTCTCTGCATGCTCTGAAAACCTTTATTTGTCTAGTTTTTTCCCTGCACTTTAACCCTTTGGAACTCTCTCCGATCGTCATGTTTTCCTGACTTGTTTAACTCCCAATTTTTTAAGTTAATAATTAATTAAGAAATCACTTTATTATTAGGAAAAAAACTATTAAAAGTTAAACTACTTTCATTCAAATTTGAATGTAATATCTTACGTTTAAGCCAATAAGATATTAATATAAGAGGACAATTGTGCGCGGAAATTTCAAACTGACAAAAACGATTCAATATCTAAAGCTGCTATAATTCACAAAGAACTTGTTTTTTTGGTTAAATAATCATAAAAAAGCATGAAACTTATTTTTGTCCCTAAACCTAAAAAGCACAACTGAGATGTGACCAAAAAATTGCATTGTATATATCGAGTAAAGTTTCATGATTGACACAGCGACGAATTTTGGCTCGCATCTTATTTAATTTACGCAATTCCACCGCTAATTTTTTAAGATGAGAAGAAAAGAATAGATTTGAGTCAATTATGATTCAAATATACTTTTATAAAACTACAGAAAAAAATTTTTGACTAAATTTTACTAAATTTTTTATACACTTTAGATTGACTTAATTTTTGGAAATGGTGGGTTTAGTTTTGTTGGTTTTAAAACTAAGTTTGTTAGAACGCAGCCATTAAAGTATATTGGATAAATCATGTTGGTATCATTTTTTCATGAGTAAGTAGTGTAAATAAGATATTAATATAAGAGGACAATTAGAGAAATGTTTATTGTTTTAGTTACTATCCGGCTTTTAATTATGTGAGCAATCACGACAGGTATAATTGGTGTTGGATGAAGGAATGGGTGTGTGAATTTAGGTATTAAATAAGATAATTGTAAAAAAAAAATGAAATTTAAAAATGAAATTTAAACCTGAAACGGGTAAAACCCAAAAACACCTTTTACTAGACCTCTCTGACGGTCCATTCCCCATTAAGCCCATATTTAAGGGCGGTGGCTTTCTTGCTTTTTTTCATTTTTACTAAATGGAATTAAATTTTTTTTTTGACATTACATTTTAAATATCACTGAATAATTTTAAATGTTCCGTAGTTATGACTATGCAATGTTTACAGCCCCCTTGAAACGATTAAATTACCTATAGGTATAATATAATCGTTTCAAGGGGGTTTTTAAGTGTTCCGTAGTCATATCTACGGAACACTTTTTATAAATATTGCCCTTAATATTGGGGTTAATGTTTATAATATAAATGTTTATAAACATCAGTTTAAACATTATAATATAAATGTTTATAACATCAAATGTTATAACATCAATATAAATTATAACAATATAAATTATAGGTTTATAACATCAAATGTTATAGCATCAATATAAAATCTAATGTTATAACATCAATATAAACAATATAATTTGGGTGTTATAAACATCAGAAAAACCGCTGCGACTTTTAAGAGTATTTATTTGTAGATATACTTTGATTTAGACAATGCCTGAATAAACTATTTTTAACAATAACAATGGAAATAAAAATGTAATAGAATTAAAGTATAAATTAATTAAGTATAATATAAAAACTATATATAAAAATTGTATAATAATATTAAAGTAAATTATTAATAATAATATTAATATTTGTATAATTAAGTAATAATCGTATAACAATATATAATATAAATATAAAAGGTCCTTGTTATGGAGTTTTGCCGACTGTCATATCGACATATATTAATCGTATAATAATATTAAAGTAAATTTAACAGGGAAAATATTTTTCCTTGTTAAATTTACTTATAAATATATCATAGTAGTATTGGTTTTTATTGTTGTTGTTGTTGTTAATATAATCATTATCATTGTCATTACATTATATCTGATTTGTTATGATTATGGTTATTATGATCATAACAAATTATAATATCTAATCATACGGTTAGATATATTGCAATGACGATGTTAATAATTATATTAACAACAACAATAATAGCAATAATAGCAACATTAGTAATAATAACAGTAACAACAATAATAACAATATTGATAAAATATCATCACTGAAGTTGAAACTAAGTTTCACTATGGTTGTATGTTTGGTTATCTCCGCTGCCAATCTGTTTCTTTTCTCCGTCGATTGAGCCTCAATTTAACTAAATTTTATTTTCACGGTTGCATTTTGCCCCGCTAATGCAAACATATATTGGACCAACTTTATAGTTTCCGAATACTTGTATGGTATCATTATAATCTTGAAACATTGCAACCATTTTTTGTCGACAATCTCTTTCGATAGGTGATCTTTATAAAACTTTTGCAATTTAAGAAACTGTTTAAAAACTGTTTTATTTTTTGTCTATGCAAACATTTTTATCCTTTAAATACTCAAATTTAATACTGACTTCCTCCCAAACTAAATCGTTTTTGGACAAGGACAGAAAAATATTTTAAATGATTGAAACCGCCCGTTCATGAGTTTTATCCTCGGTCCATGACTTTAAAAATTCTAAATCATTTTAGTTCATACTAAAAGCATCCATTTATAAATTTAATGGTTTGTTTGGTTAAAGTTCTTTGTTTTTTCGGAGATTTTTTTGCGTAATTTAAAGAAAAAGAACTTAGCTTTAATAGGAGTTTTAAGTAAATCTAATTCTTCTTTCAAAAATCGTTTAGAAATTCTACACGAACTAGGTAAATTGAGAAATAATGGTATATCTTATATATGTAATTATCCATGGAATCTACAGCATGCTGATTTATGTTGTTAAGCACGTGAGTAGCCGTTTTCATAAAAACATATGATAAAACTAAATCTTTTTAAATCTTTTTAAATGTTTGTTTTCATTTTCTGAGTTAAATAAAATGATTAATATATCAGCAGGATTCAAAATCAACATTTTGTTTAAAGTCTACTACAATTTTTATCACAGATTCGTATGCAAAGGCCAGATCTGAACTTGGTAAAGCTGAGATAACATCAGATTTACAGAGTGATGTAGATGTTTCAAGACTACGTACAAAACGGTAAGTTCAAGTATTATATAGAGTAAATTAATTTATTATATAAAGTAATATTAATTAATTAAACAAAATAGTTATTGTGTTAAAAAACAAATAGTGCAATGAAATTTCTACGTATATAAATATATTGCACTTAATGTAATTTATTATTCCTTTTTGTGTGTGTTTAGTATTCAGAAATATCTTGAAGATGACAACGATAATAGTGATGAGTATTCTGACAAGGATTCTCAGCAAATAAATAAACAACCCCTTTGCCAAGTTTCTAAGAAAAGGGAAGGTTCTGCAGAAGGGAGCAACAGTCGATCGAAAACTAAATCTCACAAACCAGCCCCTAAAGCACCTCCGTTTCCTGTGTCTTGTCCTTGCTCTTTAACACCTTCATCTCCTGTAATCAGTGAACGAGCCATACCAGAATCAATTTCACAGCCATTTACTAGAGCTATTGAACGAGGCTCTGAGTTATCTACATCACATGTAGCTAGTCAACAATCTGGTTGACTAGTAGTTGGCAATCTGAGTTATCTACATCACAAGTAGTTGGCAATCTGAAAAGCGAAGCAGCTAATCTTCAGAAGCAAGTTATAGAACAACCTTTAGTAGCGCCTAAAACTTCAGCCGAAATTTTACTGCATCATTTGCCACTTTTCTGCTCAGACGACTCAAACAATTAGTTATGTTAAAAATTAGTTATGCTAAATGCTGCTACCTTATAGTTTCTTCAGAAACGTTTTAAAAGTTGTTTCCCATATTCATAATGTAGTTATATTTTTCGTGTAATAATATTGTATTTTATGTTGTGGTTATGTTTTTATTATGTACATGTGTTAGTTCAAATTACAGAATATAATTCTTTATACCTGGTTTTATGTTATTTTACAAATTATAAGGGTATTAATGGTTTGTTGAATAATTTTAAAATATTTTTTATTAAAGCTCCTTAGATATTTATTAAAGCTTTTTTGATATACCGTTAATCCCGCTCCGGTGAGCCATTTGGGGACCTGCGTTAGACCAGTTCGGGTTTGCCATTTGTGGACCGCTGATAAGCCATCACTGGCTTGCCAATGGCGGACCACTGAAACACCAGCACTGCGCCTGCACTGGCAAGCCAGTGCCGGACCGTGACAAAGCCAGTGAGCAAATCGGCGAAATATATGGGAAGCTGCTCCCTATGCTTGCCAGTGCAAGCGCAGTGCTGGTGTTTCAGTGGTCCGCCATTGGCAAGCCAGTGATGGCTTATCAGCGGTCCGCAAATGGCAAACCCGAACTGGTCTAACGCAGGTCCCCAAATGGCTCACCGGAGCGGGATTAACGGTCCATCAAAAAAGCTTTAATAAATATCTAAGGAGCTTTAATAAAAAAATATTTTAAAATTATTCAACAAACCATTAATACCCTTATAATTTGTAAAATAACATAAAACCAGGTATAAAGAAATATATTCTGTAATTTGAACACATTTACATAATAAAAACATAACCACAACATAAAATACAATATTAATACACGAAAAATATAACTACATTATGAATATGGGAAACAACTTTTAAAACGTTTCTGAAGAAACTATAAGGTAGCAGCATTTAGCATAACTAATTTTTAACATAACTAATTGTTTGAGTCGTCTGAGCAGAAAAGTGGCGAATGATGCAGTAAAACTTCCGCTGAAGTTTTAGGCGCTACTAAAGGTTGTTCTATAACTGCCGATGAAGCTGTAGGCATTAGTGCACGATGTTCAAAGTTTTTTTTATTGATTTTCGAATGGCTCTTTGTTTTCTACTACCATTACGATCACTCGCCCCTGCTAAATAGTGAACCACGGCCTTCTGCACATCATTTTCTGAAGCACCTTTCGTTGGTGGATTTCTTCACAATGCTCCTGCAAATGTGCATCATAATATAATACGCAGTTATGCTCTGACTTAGTTCACATTATTATAATAACATTTAATATTACTAAATAAAATATTTTCTATACATTAAGTATTTCTAGTAATTAAAATTTAATATCATAGAATAAGCAATTTTGATGCAGTAAACAACTGTTTCTGAGGTTCATTTGCTAAATTATAGGTGATATTAACAAAAATTAAGTTTCGCTTACTTTCCAGAACTTGTCGCCATTTCAAATCACGAAAGGGTTTTTTTAGATTTTCACCAAGTCCTGACCAATTCATTTGTTTTACTACGTCGTTTTCCATAAGAGAGGAAACCATCCTTCCAACGGCTTCCTTCAGGTCCTGACCGCCCTTCGAAGCAACACCATGCACCTAAACATTAAACCGTCGACATTTAATTGATTATTTCATCTGCATTTTGGCAATATCATAAAAATCATAGAAATAAATAAAAACAGTAACTAGGATGAGGCCAGGTTGCATTTGAAAAAAAAGCATTTTTGATTAGCAAATATATATCTTGCTCAATTTTTATGCTAAAATTTGCTTGAATTAGAGAATTTGCTAATAAAAAAAGGGGAGGCGATCGAAACACGAACCTCCAGGGGGTTCGTGTTTCGATCGGTACAAAACTGAAGATGAAGCAAAACTATAAGTAAGATAAAATTTAGTTATAGATTGTAAAGTATTGCTTACTTCAAATAGATCATAAACTCTCGCATGCAAATATTTTTAATACATAAGATGTTTTTAAGATATCAAACTTTTTGGAGAAATTTATTATTAAGTCAAATTGTACTTACAAGTTTATTAAATAAAAGATTGTCTTTAGTAATTATATCTTCAAGATGCTGCAGCTGTTTTCGGTCACATACAGGAAGATCAAGAGTTTCAAAAATGTTTCCATCGTCTTGTATCCCACCTTGTGACAAAGTCTGCAACATAGTAGTGTTGTAAGTAGTCTGCTTCTGAAGATTAGCTACTTCGCTTTTCAACTCAACTAAAAGAGTAAATATTTTATTTAAAACACTGTTTGATGTTTGTGCAGATGTATGACTAGCTGCTGTAGACAATTCTGTGGCATTCAAACTAGTAGCTGAAATTGACAAGCTAGTCGGAATATTAGGAACAAGGTTGGCTTTCACTTGTTCTAACTCTCCTTCTATAAAGGCGCCTGCTGAAACAAATGATATATCTTCTAAATTATGCCGACTGATTGTATGCAATTCTGATGCTGCATGTGTTGAAATTCGGTAACAAGCAGCAGATGTAGATGTTGCAGATTGCCAACTACTTGTGGTTGCAGGTGTTACAGATTGTTGACTAGCTACATGTGATGTAGATAACTCAGAGCCTCGTTCAATAGCTCTAGTAAATGGCTGTGAAATTGATTCTGGTATGGCTCGTTCACTGATTACAGGAGATGAAGGTGTTAAAGAGCAAGGACAAGACACAGGAAACGGAGGTGCTTTAGGGGCTGGTTTGTGAGATTTAGTTTTCGATCGTCTGTTGCTTCCTTCTGCAGAACCTTCCCTTTTCTTAGAAACTTGGCAAAGGGGTTGTTTATTTATTTGCTGAGAATCCTTGTCAGAATACTCATCACTATTATCGTTGTCATCTTTAAGATATTTCTGAATACTAAACACACACAAAAAGGAATAATAAATTACATTAAGTGCAATATATTAATATACGTAGAAATTTCAATTCACTATTTGTTTTTTAACACAATAACTATTTTGTGTAATTAATTAATATTACTTTATATAATAAATTAATTTAATCTATATAATACTTGAACTTACCGTTTTGTACGTAGTCTTGAAACATCTACATCACTCTGTAAATCTGATGTTATCTCAGCTTTACCAAGTTCAGATCTGGCCTTTGCATACGAATCTGTGATAAAAATTGTAGTAGACTTTAAACAAAATGTTGATTTTGAATCCTGCTGATATATTAATCATTTTATTTAACTCAGAAAATGAAAACAAACATATCTAGAAACATAAAACAAGTCAAGTCAAATTTAATATTTAGGAAACTAATATATTAATGTGTCAGTAATATATATTTGACATTTGTGAACAATACCAATTTATGTTTGCATCCTTTTATTATAATGTCAATGTCAATGATATTATATTAAAACATATAAAACTTGCCTTTGGTCCCTAAAATTCGACAAGAATGTTTAGACCATTTTTCAGATGGTATTTCACAATTTATTGCCGCTTTATTTTTTATAAAGCAATGGTTGCCTAAATTCTGTTGCTTTCCAACGTTCAAATTAATGAAATGGCCGTGGCTTACGCGCAAATTCTGATGGAATAAAAGGTCTCATGTCAACCAATTTTTCTGATAGATCTTTGACCACACGTGGGCCAAGTCTGGTGGCTAAAGGTCCCTTGAGCCACATAAAAACCATTTTCTTTATTACGCCAAGACAAACTAAATGCATGTAGTCTGCAGGTACCTTCAATATCAATCCTAATGATAGAATAGCAACAAGTGGGCTTTTTCCATAATGATGTTTCTGATCTTTCATTTCTATAAATGATGAGTCTGTTCCAAGAGCTGCTGCTGTTTCCGTAAAAGTTGTACGCCCGGCATAAAAACCATGTTGTACACATTTATCACATCCATGATATGCACTGTGACCCTTAATACGTTTAATAAAAGCTCGCGCTGTGGTGTCACAAACCAGAGCAGAAATTTTTATTTCATAACACACATTGTTAAATATGATTCCTGTTTCCTGAAGGTCTTTTATTTCCTCAACAAAGTCTTTCAAAAATGCATTAACATCAGTCGGCTTGGTGTTTCCACAGTATAATGCAACTGTAAACGGCTCCCTATTTGTTTAAACCACACCATCAAAATGTTCCATTAAACACAGAATTGGCCACAACTGTATCTTTGAACTTTTAAATAATGGCAATCCATCAATATTGAATTGTAACATAATTACCTGATTCACTGTCGTACCTTTAGCAACTAACTGTGACAATCTATTAACAATCCCTTGCTTTATGCCAAAATAACAATATGAACTGTCACGTACCTCTTTCTTGTAGATTTCAGACTGCATTACTGTTTTTGGACTGTTTTTGGACTGTTTTTGGCAAATCAGGGCAAATTTTTCGTAAAATAGTCAGCAAAGCAGCTAACGCAGTAAGTGTAATATTAAAAGAACATCACCATGATGCCAAATCTGTTACAAGTTCTTCCATCATACTGAACTGAGAGCTTTGGTCAGATTCAGAACCGCTCATAATGGCATTTTCAACTTTGTCATATTCATCAACATCACCCAAAGGTGATGCAAAATTCTCTGATGTTAAATCACTGCAATTGTTAAATAAAGGGTTGAATAAAGGAGTTTGGCTGCTTAATTCAGTAACAGGAACCACTAATGTTTCAGACAATTGAGGTGATAAGCTTGCTGTAGCCCATTTCTCTCTAACATCAATATTACGCTTTTCAGTGTCAATTATTTCAGTTAAAATATGTTGCACTTCGCCTCGAATCTTTCTTCTTTTTGTCCAGTAACTCATTGCTAAAACTGCCTAAAAGTAGCATAACTTTCAGCAAACAGCAAACAAAATAAAAAAATAAAGATATTTATTTACAGTAATGGTTTACCTTAAGATTAATTGCTTGAATAGTTTTTCACCAATTTGAATCCAAAGGGTTCTATTCAGCACTCAATATCACAAGGACCACAAAACCAATCACACACTAAATATTTACATAAAAATAATCAATTTGTTTGTGTGTGAAACTATTATATATATTAGTTTGATTAACATACATACATATTGCATACATATATAGTTTGATTATACATACATACATATTGCATACATATATAGTTTGATTATAAATACATACATACATACATACATACATACATACATATATACATATATATATATATATATATATATATATATATATATATATATATATATATATATATATATATATATATATATATATATATATATATATATATATATATATGAATATATATATATATATATATATATATATATATTTATATACATATATATATATATATATATATATATATATATATATATCATATATATATATATATATATATATATATATATATATATATATATATATATATATATATATATATATATATATATATATATAATATGATTTATAATTTTATATATTTATATATATACATATATTTTTTTGGTAATTGTTATATCCATATTTCCACACTAGTGTGGTTAGGACAGTTCTTTATAATGACATAAATGCCATTATGAAACAGTTGAAGAAATGTTTTACAACTGAATGCCCTTCCTGATGTTAACATGAGGCAGGTTGAACTGGATTACATGTTATCAGTAGCAGGATAACCTGACTTGACATAAGGATAACCTGACCTGACTGTGCATATAATATTGTTATTATATATACTTTTAATTGAAGCTGATATGATATATGAAACTGAACAACTAAACTGATACTACATTAGTAGTTTTAGTTTATCAGTTTAGTAGTTCGGTTATCAGCTTCATATATTCTATCAGCTTCAATTAAAAATATATATAATAAATATATTATATATATTTATATATAAATATATATTTTTAGTAGTACTAAAATATTTAAAAGTAATCCAAATACAAAACAACTAAATTTTTTTTTTCTTTTTTCTATTTTACAGATTACAAACCTGTAATAAATATAAATATATATATATATATATATATATATATATATATATATATATATATATATATATATATATATATATATATATATATATATATATATATATATATATATATATTATATATATATATAAATTTATATATATATATATATATATATATATATATATATATATATATATATATATAACATAATATTATATACAATGTTTTATATATATAAATATATATAATATCATTATTATATATTGATATCAGACTATATCTGTAATTGTAGATTTCCTCAAATATTAACTAATTAAATATTATAAATATTATTATGACATGCTTCCTTCAGCCGATCGACCACACGACAAATATACATGCACTGTAAATGCGTACTGGTGTACCTTTGCAGGACCGCCTACAGTTTACCAGCGCTGGTGCGCCTATATAGGGCCTATGTAAGGCCAACGACTACATACCAGCGCTGGAGAACCGTTATCGGCGTAACTATGGTCCAGACATGTCTAACCAGCACTGGCGCGCCTGGTATAGTTTAGTGTTGGACCTTAATTGGTACGCCAGAGCTGGCCAGCCAGCAACGGACCGATTGAGTGCTGCTGACTGGGTCTTTGTCAAGTTGAAAAGATTATTAATCAGTGAGATAAAACACTGGCTGATTATAATCTGCCTGTTGTTGAGTTAAATTTTAATCTAGATAATCTAGAAAATTTCAATTAAAATGTTCAACAATCAATTGATGAAGCCAATAGAATGAGACCACTATTCAATGTCAATCAATTAAATGTATGTTATACTATTTTTGCTGCATTGAATGAACAACCAAATGTAGAAAATCAGCATTCTCGATTGTTTTTCATGGATGGACCGGATGGTAGTGGAAAAACGTTTACATATAATTATTTGATTGCTGAAACCAGCAGTAGAGGTATTAAATCTGCTACAGCTGCATGGACTAGCATAGCAGCAACTCTTATTACAAATGGATCTACATTGCATGGCTTATTCAAACTTCCTGTTCCAATATTAGATAACAACACATGTAATGTAACTCCAAACTCTATACATGGACACTTTTTAAGTCAGGTTATTTTGTTTTTGCTTGATGAAACATCCATGATTTTTTGCATGATAAAACATCCCAAATTTGCATTGAATACAATTGATAGGTTATTAAAAGATGTTTGCAACATTAACTTTCTATTTGGAGGAAAAGTTATTCTTTTTGGAGGCGACTTTAGACAAATACTGCCTGTTGTGAAAAGAGGACAACCAGCTGAAGTTGTAGAAGCATGTATAAAATGTTCTTTACATTGGCAATAGGTGCAGAAGTTTAAGTTAACTGAAAATATGAGAGTACATGATGGGGAAAGGGAAATTTCAAATTGGCTGTTAAGACTTGGTAGTGGAACAGTATTTGTCAAAGAGGAAGATCTTTTTAAAGGATGCATTGAAATACCGCATCAATGCCTTTTTAGGGAAAATGACTCCATTGTTGAAAAGATATTTGGGGATGCCGAACAAAACAATTATGCTAAACGTGTCATTTTGACACCAACTAATGTGGATTCACTATCAATCATTGTAGAAGTGCTTCAACGTCTACCGGGTGAGGTCAAAACTTATTTAAGTGCTAATCAAGTTGAGACAGACAAACTTAATGAAAGAAATAACTTTCCTGTTGAGTTTTTAAATAGCTTAATTCCCTCAGGTATGCCTTTTCATACTTTAAAGTTTAAAATTGGTTGTATAATTATGTTATTTAGAAATTTAGATCTCAAAGCTGGGATATATAATGGCACTCGAATGAAAGTTTGTGCTCTTCAAAATAATTATATTGATGCCGAGGTTTTGACAGGTGTTTCTGCTGGTAAACGGGTATTTGTATCTCGAATTCAGTTGGCTCCGTCAGGTTCTAGTTTACCTTTTGTTCTAAAACGTCGCCAGTTTCCTGTCAGATTGGCATATTCAATGACAATTAATAAAAGTCAAGGTCAAACATTTGAAAGAGTTAGTGTATATCTAAAGAAACCGTGTTTAACTCATGGTCAACTTTATGTTGCATGTTCAAGAACTAGAGCATTTAATAGTTTATTTTTTAAAATTAATAAACATCCCATTCAAGGTATGATAGATGAAAAGTGTTACACAAATATTGTTGCATTTTCTAATGTTCTTAAATTGTAATTATGAGATTTTTGTTATAATTTTTACTTTTTTTCATAGTTTTATTTTTATATTGTTTTAGTAATTACATTTGTCTTTATACATGTTTATAATTGTTATATGTGTAATGTAAGTGTTATATGTATGTTTATGTTATATGTATGTTATATGTATTTATAATTATGTTTATATATATGTTATATATTTATATATATGTTATATTATATTATTTGTATATATGTTATATATATATATATATATATATATATATATATATGTTTATGTTATATGTATGTTATATGTATGTTTTATAAGTGTTATATGTATGTTATGTGTTATTTGTTTATTAAATTGTTCATGTAATACTTGGGCTATATGTGTTAATAAGGTTATGTGTTTAGGGTTTGTGTATATGTGTTTATAGTTTGTGTTTATATGTTTATATTACGTTGTTTTCATGTTTTCAAAGTGGTGTTACTTGGCAAACGTGTCGAGCAAGATAGTTAACCTTGCCAGCCAAGCGGTGTACTTAAAGCAGAGGTGTGACTTGGCAGCGTTTAGTGCCAAGTGGTGTTACTGTTTTGTTATGGCTAGGCCGTGTTGTCTAGCCTTTTTTAATTATTCTGGAACCACGTAATGTCTATTAATATTAAGCATCATATGTACATACAAATATGTAATGTGTTAAATGTGTTAATATGTTTTATAATTTTATATGGTCTCGATCATAGCACAATTCCCCAAGTCATTTTTTGGGGTTTTTTTGGAAGTTAAGAGTTGAAATATATAGCTTAAACAGCCTTGTATAATGTGGCAAATTGCCTTAAACCAATCAGAAAAGAGTTGATTTTCAATTTTTTCACTTCTTGTGAAATCCGCATTTTTACTTAATCTTATTGTTTTTGACCTATATCCTATTATGTCTCAACGGTAATACACATATCACTTCTAAAGCAATATATGAAAGCATCTAAGTAAAAAGATGCCAAAAATAAACCAAAGTGACGTAGCAAAAAAAAATACCGAAGTTATTCATTTTTTTTTTTAGTTTTCTCAAAAAAAGAAAAAATGACTTAGGCGATTGTGCTATGATCGTGACGATATGTTTATAGTTTGCTTCTTTGTCTATTTTATGCAGTAGTTTCAAAGTGGTTTGACTTTGCCATTGTATAGAGCAAGTGTAATGTGTACTTATAAAAAGCTTATGTGCTTTTGTTGTGCGTTATTGTTGCAACATTAGTGTGATGATTTGTGTTGATAGACAGTTAGCTTACCTTCCTGTTGGTGTCTATCGTTAAAAATAATTAATTAATAGTTCTATTCATGGAGCTTACTGTTTCTAATCACTCACTAAAAGCCAAGACAAAACATATTGCTATAAACACAATTTGTTTATACTTCATTTTGTTTTTTTTTATCTTTAGTGTTTTTCATAGTTCTATTCTTTAAAACATTTTTAATAGGCTTTTTAATAAATGTTAATTGATTAAACATTTTGAAACCTTTTTTTTGTTTTCAATAAAAACCAGCATGAAATAATGTCATTGAACAACACCATCAAATTCTGCTACATCAATACAGCAACTGCAGTTTGCCAAAAACAGCTTAAATGTTTTCCTGTTTTAAAAATCTTTTTCTTTTCTATTATATTTACTTTTCTTTTTTATTTTTCTTTTAGACATCATGTGACGTATTTATGCGATACAGGAGAACACAAATAATAATTATGTTTTGTTATTAAATAATAAAGTTTTGTTAAAAAAAATATTCATTTTTAAATAAATTTGTGATTTTGTAATAAACAGAAGGGTCGGATTTTAGCAGCATGAAATATTTGAAAATTTCTGTTTAAAATGCATTTTTAATCTATGGCGGAGAGACCTTCATGTAATTAACTATAATTTAATTATGCGCACATTAAACGCTTTTAAGTTAAATAGAACTTTTTTTTCTTAATAAAGGAGAGGGGGGTACCAAAAAATTAATAAGTGTCCCGTTAAACATTAGAAGTTAACGTTTATATAAGTACTATAATAAATTTTTTTAACTGCTCCAAAAAATTTAAAGATGTTAAGGAAAATTACAACTAAATAATTAAAAAAAAACGCCTTCACTCTAAAACAAATAATATATCCAAAAAAAAAAGTCGTTTTTGTCATATTTAACAGTCAATCCTTATGTTAATTATTGTGTCTTCTTTTTAACACGGTGCCTTGGAAACACTGTCTTATTAAAATAAGAATTAATAAAGCGAGATAAAATCTGAATAAGTAGAGAGCTCTTGCGTACTTCTTAACACTATTGATAATGACCGAGTATAAACATATTTTACGCGTTGTTTGCTGTTTTACAATATAATTATAACTATAAGCAATGACATTGCCAATAGGGAGCCAAATTTAAATACAAATTTATCTGCAAAATTATTTACAGATAAGTTTGTATTTAGATATATTTTTTAGATAATATAGTACGTTATGTTGTTACTAATGATTTAGTTATTTTTAACCCGTATTACGGGTTGCTTACTGCTAGTATATATAACTAAGTTAAGGCAATATATTGAGTATTTTCGATTTAATTTTTATTATTAAAAAATAATAAAAAATATTGCCTTCTACAAATTTTTAATAATTAAAATTACTAACAGTTTTCTTGTTTAAGTGATACTATAGTACTAGGCTGCATTATTCTTTTGAGTTAAACAGGTCTAGGAGATAACAATAATAATAGAAAACGCTTTAAGAAAAAAAATTCGAAGTCATTAAATTTATTTGAAGTTATATGAAACAGATACAAATGAAAAAAAGAGGTATAGAGTTTTCCAAAACCAAAATATAATAAAATAAAATCAATGTTATTTAAATACACGTACAAAAAATATGTATGTATATATATATATATATATATATATATATATATATATATATATATATATATATATATATATATATATATATATATATATATATTTATATATAAACTATATATATATATATGTATATATATATTTATATATAAACTACTGTATTATACTCTCACTATGAGATAGTGGACATCGACTTTCAATATATTGGCGATACTTTTTTCAATTCTCAAAATTGGGCGTTGCTCAGTTACGGTTTTATTTTTCTTCCGTAATCTCTATTAATGGCCGTTGCCAGAAAGCTGCCAATTTTTTCTTAAATACTTTTGTCAGTAGCGATTTTAAAATGAACGAATACAACGATAAACGACAAAACGCAACTCTTCAAAATGTTTTTTAAATATCATCACAACATAATTTTGAAATATATAACTTTTCACGTATAAATATTGTAAAGTAATTAGCTTTTATTAAAATATTTATTTATTAAAAGGAAATGGGATGTAGAATACAAATATTGTGCTTTACCTATAACGACTTTGCAGGACGTTTTTGTTTCATTCCATGCGCTGAGTATGAAAAACATACTTCATTGGCCATTAGCTGTATTAAGATTGCTGCTGTAAGTTGTTTCTCATCTCCTCCAACCGAAATAAGAAAGTTCATCTAAAATAAGAAAACAAATGTAACATAGTTGGTTGTACTAAAAGTCTAATGGTTTCTCATGTGTATGTATTAGACGGTTTTCCATAATATGATTCTTATTAAAATATGACATTATGGAAGAGTAAAAGCAATTGGTTATAAATAGATTATGACATCTGTAGCGGTGAATACACCCTACAGATGTCATAGATATCTGAGATTAGTAGTCATTGCTACACAAAATACATTGCTAACTGGGCATAAAAAATAAAAATCACAACAAAATGTAATAAGCATTTATATAAAACATTCTGATATACAACATAATTATAGTCAATCACATATCATATTGTATCATTTGTTTGTATGTTCATATAAATGTATCATATATTTTAAAAATTAGAAACTTTAATAGTACATGGTACTGATTCCAAAAACTAATAATTAATATCAATTCACTGATATATACCATTGATTCATATGGTGTCTTTGCTCCATAATTTTTCTTCTAGGTTTAGAAGATCTTTTTTCATCTATAACCGTCAAATAAATTCAATAAATCAAAAGAGATAGTCAAGCAAAGCTCTGATGAAATCACTTAACCCTAAAACACTAAAGATTTTTTAAATCTTTGAGAAACTGAGATACAATCTCATCAGTGTCCCTTTTTTTGTAATCTGCATCCTTTTAAGCTGGAGGCACAGATAATTCCGTTCTAAAGCAGTCTCATAACTGTCAAAAAAAAGTATAAAGAATAGATGAAACTATACTAAACAAACAACATTTACTATATTTGAGTCAAACATAGCTGTTGAGATAAAAAACAAAGACAATACTGTAAATAAAACAAAAGCAATATTGTAAATAAGACAATTACCAAAAAATTCTTATTTTCAGCTGCTTTCAGTTACTTTTAAAAGCATGACTTTACGTATGGCAGCCTAAAGGCAAGATGCTTGCAAATGATTTGGCCAATACACCAAACTTTCATTGATACGCCATGAAAAACAGATTACATTCATGGCACACGTATTGTTTTTTCATTGAAAATTTCAGCCAGAGCAAATTTATTTTACAATAGAATAATTAGGTGAAAAGAAAAGCCTATCAACCTTTTGTTTTATTGTATCTAATTGTGTCAGTCTAATTGTTTATATGCAATTATACATTTGATGAACCCAAGATGCATCTAGATGTTTTTTTAATGTCGTGACATATATTGAACACTATTTCAGATGGTAGACTATTCTACAAACTTGTGAATTCCATATTAGAAAAGTTTTTTCCGGACATCTGTCTTACAAAACATTTTTTTTAAATTTATAAGCATGATCGCATGTTGTTAAGTTGGAGTTAGTCATAATGGAGGAATAAATACTAACTAAATATATAATCATATATTATTATTAAGAAGTGGCCATATTAACACGCATGCTATTACAACTCATATTAAGTACTTAATGGTCTGTAACTACAATAATAAATATAATGGCTGTGCAGATAATATCATTCTGACACAGGTGTTGATAGATAAAATACTGAATGGTATTTTAAGAGGAAACAAAAGGGTTGCAACTACAATTATAAAGATTGTGAATGCATTTGTAAGTTTATGCCATGTGATTACATAAGAAACAATAGCTCATGCTAGTTAAATTTAGTCTCAGTAGTCTTTGGTTGTAAGTGAGTCCAGTCTAGCCAAAAACAGTTTTACTAGACTAGCATAGAACATTTGAAATTAATTGTTAATCTTTTTAAAGTCTAGGATAGTAGACAGAGCTGCAAGAATCAAGGTGAGGACGAACAAGAAAAATAAACAAAATACAAAATCTCAAGATATCGAGATTGACAAATGATCTTTTGATCATTCCTACAACTTTATTGGCGGTGTTATTCTTAGTACTTACAAAATAAAAGTTAAATTACTGTCAATAAAGATCCTTTTATTGACGAGAGAGTTTTTAATATTAATTAAAGTAATGAGATTTTCATCAAC